TGGAAGCTTGCTTTTTATTTTGGACTCTACTTTAACTTTTATAACAAGTTTCTCCCCGTATGTGTGGAGGAATGAGGAAAAGTGAAACTAAAATGGCGTTGGATTGATACTTTTCAGCAAGAAGTGAAAGTGATTTCCGGTTTGAAATTTTTCTTACTTTGAATTTGCGTATTACTTGTTTTTACTGAACTGCTTAAACCTATTGCTAATATGGTTCTGAGAAAAATCCTGCCTTTGGCTTCGGGACCGTCTGCATCCCTGATGGCTCAGACATCTCAACTTACTTCTGAAACTTTCCATTTGTCACCTCCGTTTTTTTCGCCTCCATCGCTTTTTGCTGGAGAACTGCGCAGCTTGGTCTCTGCGGTGGCTGAGATGTTTCAATCGTTTGAGGCTAGATTTCAAAGTAGATGTGATCAACTGATGCAGCAACAACAGGATTTTTTACAATACCGAGATTTATCACAGAAACAGGAGGATTTTTGCTTGAATGTTGTGACTGCTTCTCAAGATCTGGTTGAACAAGTGGATCCGGTGGTGGCTAATGGGGGTTGTTCACACCCTGAAGAGGCCATGTTGGAATCTTGCATTGACTTTTTGAAAACGAGTAAAATTGTGGAACAAGGAGTAAAAGAGGAGAGACTGAGTAGCCCTGAACAGGCTTTTATATATCAAGATATACAATTTCAAGAGTCAGAGCAACTTAGTTGTGAATTTATACTGGGACTAAATGTGGAAATTATTAGGCAAACTAATTTTACACAAAGTTACTTGGACTCATTTCAATTGTTAAATACAACAAAGATTGATATTCAGATTATATTGGCAGAAAGGGGAGAAAATTTTGCTCAGTTTGAAGTGATTAAGTTTTGTAACCAAATTTTGAGATTTCATAGTCGAAACGCTCTAATATTAACTTGGTTTAGAAAGAAACCCAGAGTTAGATATAAATATGACATTAAATGTTATTGGATGGGTTAAAAATGTCTTAAAGGTTTTTTTTCTGATTTAATGACGAAGGAAGTACAATTATGATAATGTTGTAATAATTGAATTTGTTTGACTTAATTAAAAGGGTGGGAATTTAGGTCCTAAAGGTTCCTTTTTTTTCTCTTTTTTCTTTTTTTGATTTAATAATGGTTGAAGGAGGTGGACTTACTTTTAGCTAAAGTTAGATATAAATATGACATTAAATGTTATTGGATGGGTTAAAAATGTCTTATGACTATGCTGTAATAATTGAATTTGTTTGGAGGTGGACTTATTGTTAATGCTTAAATAATTGAAGGATAACTAAGTAATTGAAGTTGTAAACCTTATTAAGGGTTCAAAATGATTTTTTTATAGGTGTAGTTTGATGAAATGATAGAATTTACTTGTTAACTTTATGGAACTGGGAATTTTTTCTTTTTTTTTTTTTGCTGAAATGGTAAAGATTTTGGGTATCTGAAGAATTAATTAAAGGAATAATTTTTATTAAAAGGAAGATTATTATAAATATAATAATGCTGTAATAATTGAAAATAATTGAATGATAATTAAGTAATTGAAGTTATAAACCTTATTAAGGGTTCCAAATGATTTTTTATAGGTGTAGCTTTATGAAATGATAGAATTAATTTCTTAACTTTATGGAAGATGGAAATTTTTTTTCTTTTCTTTTTTTGTATAAGTAAGGGATGCTGTTAAACTATCTTGCTGAAATGGTAAAGATTTTGGGTATTTGAAGAACTAATTAAATGAATAATTTTTAT